TGATGATGTATTCATCAATAAGCATTATTAGCTGATTAATTATTATAGTGTCCTAAAAATAATTTTTATTCACCCAAGTCGAATAAATTTTATTCATCGCGCCCATAAGAAAATAATCACATGCGTGACAATTTTTACCCTTCCGGAGGATAAATTCTACCTGTAAAACGTCATCAGTCTATCTACCTCTCTCTGTAATAAAATACGTGTAAGAGAGAGAGACAGAAGAGACGACCCACTCCCGCCCATCACCCCTCCCGTACGTGGCAATTTATCTCCACGGCCGGGGGACTCCTACTTTTTTCATTTTATTCATAACAAATAGATTAGCCAACTAATTCAAATTTTACTTACGCTATTCAATAGAAAAGCCTTTTGAGTAATTTCTGCAAAAATTTAAACTTTTATGGCGATTAGTACCTAGTACTAATCAAGGAGGACAGGGGGAACACCTAGAGACACAGACATCAGAGGCCCTTCTAATCTTTCAAGCTTGTGTGATCCTCCTAATACTTCAAACTAATCAGACAAATCAAGTCAATTTGACTCTTCGAACAAATCAGTCAATTCGAGTCCATTCAATCGCTCGACCTCATTTAATATCTCAAACCTATTTGAACCGTATAACCCTTCTAATCCTTCATACCATGGGCTAACCCGTCAAAGTTGTCCACTCCTTCGAACTCGGCTAACCCATCAAACTGGCCAACGGAATTTATATCTTTCAATCCCGAACACTGAGGAGAATCGACCACGAGGGGATTAAGAGTAAAGATTTAATTTTTTTCGGATGGAAAATTAATTGAAATTTGAATTAATACCCTCGCGTAGGACTCCTCCCGTATTAGGGCGGTAGATCCACCAATCAAATACTGATCGATTGGTAGCCATGAATAGTGGGATCAGCGTCACGCGACAGTGGCCTCCGAAAATCATTTAAGCAGTGACCACGACCGAGTAAGCACCCGAGTGATAACAGAGCCCACGCACTCTAAGAAGGACCTCCCACTGCACGAGAAAAACGCAGCTGTCTGCAGGATGGTCCAGAAAAGGAAGAAGAAGGCAACCAGCAAACCGACCTTAAGTTTACGGGTAAATAATAACTAATTTCCCCCTTTTTGGCGGCTCCCTCCCGGTACGACGTAATTTCCTTCCACACCATGCAAATGGCGTTGGCTTGATTTTCTCCAAATTTGGACGCCTTTAGGAGGGGTATTTCGGGCTTCCGTGTATTTTTCGATGCGTGTTTTTCTCCCAGTGCGGTTGGTGGGCCCATTTATGGGGATTTTTAAGAGGTGGCAGGTTAATTCGTTATCGAACAGCGTTGGGGAATTATCTACAGCCAACAACGGCGGTGTGGTTCTCCCTCATATCGCCATCGGGGCGCTCACTGAATGGCAACGTGCTACTACTGTGAGTAACGCATTAAAAATTTACGCAGCTATTAATTAGTTTAACGTGGTTAATTATTAATCCTTATGCATTAAACATGATGGGATTGTCTGGGATAGTTTCCTGAGCAATATTGCTCAGGTTTTTTCGAAATTCGCTCAGTGGGTTTCAAGTTTTCGAATTTTAAGTGAGGCCTCATGTTCGTGGTAACATTTTTTCCTCGCCGCTAACCGGGGAGAAAGACGTAACACGCGCTCTCTCTCTCTCATCAGTAGTGGCTTCGATTTATCGATTTCCTGAGGCTGATATAATTTTTCGAAGATTCCTCGGATTATCGCCGATCGATAATCCTTGAGGCCGCATTTCAATGGGAATATTCTGATGTGCTGAGAAGTACTTACAATTTATTTGGGGTTTCGGTGGGAGAATTTATATTTCTCTTCATTTTCCGGCACGTTAAATTCCTCCTTATCCAACGGTACGATTCGTTTTTCCTTTTTTTATTTTAGTGAATATTTTTCGGATTCTTGAGTTATGATTCTCGAAACAACGAATATCGAGGGTAGTTAAGTTTATGGTTACTGATTTTTTCGGTTTGGTTATTCCGGGTAAAAATTACGTGGCGCCCATTGGTTAAATTTTAATAGGGTTTATTAAGCTTAGGCGAAGTAGGACAAAGGTAGCAGGCATTTTCAACCCCCTACGAAAATATCACGTTGCACTTTAATATTGACACCGCTGCCACGAAGTCGATGTCCATTCGATCAATCGAATATGTTGTGAGGATGATATCGTCAAGCGTTATTTTTCATATTTACTCTCCATTATTATTTGATTTATATGAAATTCCATCGAGCACCCATCAACTAAGCCACGACCACTGGACATACATCTCGTCTAAACGACGATGATAATTGTAATTTGCGTTCATACCGACGGAACATTATCGTCGCCCTGGAAAAAAATCTCTCTGGGATAGGATGTCGACAAGGAACATGAGGACCACGATACACATTAAGACGCCCATTCGTTAAGAGTTCTTGCCGTGAAGTCGAGTTGTTAAGTCACCGTTGTAGAGTAAGTCGTGAATTTGAACACGAGTCAAGCTAGAGCTACAGTATCAGCCTCAAATTGAGTTTATAGTCGAGTTAACTTGTTCCAAGTCACGTATAATCATATTTTCAATTTACGAAATTATATTCTGGTGTGAATGTAGCAGAGAAATCATCGACACAGGTCAGAGCTGAAGATTGCAGTGAAATTTGGTACTGGGATTGACAATTTTGAAGTCGAAGAGAATTACTCATGTCTGGGCTCACCAATCACTATATTTTATCGAATAACTGACGTTTTACCGAATTATTTCCGTTAATTTTCTGATTGCGGCCGGACTTTCTACAAAATCCAATAATTATTATTTTCGAGTTACAAACTATTATTTTTACATAAATCATAAATTTTGTTCCGAGTTTCTCGTTATTCCACAATTTATAAAGAATAAATTCTATTATTTGACCATACCCTGTGCATCCTCTATCTTCTAATGTGGCCGTATAAGAACAGGGGGTATCGTCCTCCCTCCCCCCCTGAGATTTTACTTTATCGAGCTAGCCCGGATTTGTTGGTTTACCAGTAATTTTTTAATCAACTAGCGACCATAAAATTGGCTTAAAATAAGCCGCTCCTCACAATTTCTATGAAGAAAACGATTATGGCCATAGAGTTTGCCATGTTCGATCAGTAGCTACTGTCCTGTTTACTATAAGACTGTAAGAAAGCCATTTGGCCCTCAAAACCTGTCTGATCCTTCGAGCTTATTTGGGAGAATATCGATCATTCATGACACACGAGCACACAAATCATAGTCAAATATTTGATCAAACGGGGTGACCATCGCTGCCACGCCACCCGGTGTGCGATCATTGATGATGGTATATTTAATGCCAACTGTTATTATTTGGCACAATATGCCATATTTGATCACTTTCATTGGATAAAACATAGTTTGACGAATGAATTTTCTCTATATGCAATGATACTGACCTACATGTTACTTGAGGATAGACGTTTATATTCCATGAGATTCATACAAGCGACCTAACGTTGATAATTCGATTCCTTTGCTCCTACGGATCCTCGGGGTCATCAGCGATGAGATGCGATTTCAGGCATTGACAATTGATAATACGTGTTGATGTTTGATGATATGTATTCATATTTGATGACACTCGCATACACGTAATTGATGAGTGGATTGAATTTCTTGTTGACGTCCGCATTGTTTTCACCATTCATATGCGCCGATACGCATTGATATTCGATAATATGCATTGACATTAGAGCATATCCCGTATTGATGTATTATATGATGTATATAACTGTATTGATATTATTGTCGCAGCAAAGCTTAACAGGGATAAGTTTGAAAACGGGCGCATGATGATGGCCAAAATCTTTTCTATATCGTATGTATTCCATCCTATAATTCAAATTAAAATGCAAAGAACATGGGTGAAAACCGTCATGGGAGACCTTCAGTGGTCACTGCAATGCTTACCGCCATGTTGGATCCCTTATGGGTTTGGAAACGACAAG